TACGAGAGCCCTATGAGACGCTCTGTTTGAAAACATATCCAGGTTCGTTCGTTTCGAGAGAATGAAGAATAAGCGTCGACGGACCGGCGCCCGCCGGACAAAGAAGACGGGTGAGGGATTTTATTCCCTGACAAAAGTCCCGGACATTAGTAGTCTACCGACAGACGTGCGATTGGAAATTGAAAAGTCCTTTACTCCTAATCCGAAATTGAAGACTCAGCTAAATAACCTTCTTCTGAGAAAGGCGATCGTACAATACTGTAAGCAGCGTCAGTACGACATATCGCAGTACCCGACAAACGTTCTGGCCAAACGCTACAAGTTTAGAGAGATACACCGCGACGTCCGCGAACACTTTGAAAAGGGAGTCGCCACCCACAACTCTGTCACCAAGCACCCGCTTTCGACAACGTTTCGCGAAAACGCCATCGCCGTCAAGGTCTCTTCTTACGTGAACAAACTCAAGAACAAAGAGCGTCTTCCGACGCGCGTTCCAGAAAATGTCGAGGCTCTGTTGAGAGGCATGGCTTTTAACGAGTAAATAAAAATGGTCAAATTTTCCAAGTGCGGTTTCTCGAAACGAACCGCCAGAACAAAGTGTTCGAGATGCAACAGGAACAGTCGTAGACTCGATACGAGAAAGCCGTATCGCCTCGAACATTTCACCAAGGAAGATCAAAGGCGCATTCTCGGCTCCATGCGGGTTAAACGAGGAAAGAGTCCAACCTACCTGAAACTTTTATTGGGGAAACTAATTCAGGCCTTTGCTCGCAAACACCGACTGCCGGCGTCATGTCCGATCAATCGAGCCAGACACGCGCTGATAACTCACGCGATCCTCGACAGGATTCGACCATCGAGTCAAAGAACGAGGAGGAGTCGTAGCAAGAGCGTCGCGCGGCGGAGGACTAGGAGCAGGAGCGGAAGCGTCGCGCGGCGGAGGAGCAGGAGCGGAAGCGTCGCGCGGCGGAGGAGTAGGAGTAGGAGCGTTCTCTCCTCGGGTCGAAGAAGAGGAAGGAAGAGGAGTCGCAGCGTCGGCAACAGGAGGAGCCGTAGCATTTCCATCAACCGAGGCCGACTCGGTCGCAGCGTCAGTGTCGGTAGGCGAACAATGTCCAGAAACGCCAGCAGCGACTCCAAGTACATGTATCCCGTGTAATAAAAAAATGTATCAAGTGCGCGTGGATTATTCTTTCGACCAACTCCCGCCGAGCCTGCTCAGGTCTCTCACGAGCGCTCACGAGGGGTTGCGGTCGGACAAGAACCGTCTCATAAAGCGTGCCAACGACGTGATCAGAGACTTTCAGGTCTTTAAGATGCACAAGCGCAGCGCCCCAATTTTCGTCAGTCAATTTCCAGTTCACGTGTTGAATGACATGTACTCGATAGTGCCCGTGCGTAACAAGAAGGGCGACGTCATGTGCGGAAGGGAGTACGCCGAAACGGCCAAGGCTATTCGATCTAACTCGTTCTATACCGTATTTAAAGCGAGAAGCGACGGCGCAGCCCTGTTGGAAACCAAAGTCGGTAGGACCACCGGAGATAATCATTCGCCCTACGTTTCGGGAGTCTTGGTGAACGTAAACATTGACAAGATATCTAGCAAGTTTCACGACGTGGTCACCAGCCGCTCGATCAAGGTGGGGCAGTGGATCGACGTGATTCGCGACCCACCGCCGTCCTTTCTGGAAACCATAGTCGTGGCCTACGACATGGTCGAGCTAGGCGAGTTGTATAGGACAATAAACGGCGACTTTACAAACTTGCCCACGCACGACACGTATTATTCCGACAACATCGTGCACCGAGAGTCTGGTGCAAAGTTTCGTCCAAACGCGCGCGACAACGTGCGAAAGGAATTCAAGTATCGCGTTTCCATTCGCCCCAACTACAGGATCGTGGACGACTGGGAAAAGAGACCGCTGGGTCCGTCCACGGATAGCTTCTTCCATTCGACCGGCGGAGGCCGCTACAAATCGACTCTGCGTACCAGACGGACGGTGTACGAGACAAATAATAATAATAATAATGAGCCCAAGTTTCACGGAAATTCGGACGACGACTACGCTGAGCGCAACGTGGATAGCGACGACGACGCTGAAGACGGTGACGACGGTGACGACGACGTCAGTGACGAGATCAGGCGCTACAAGTACAAGAGATACTACACCGAAAGCGATCACATTATGCGAGCTTTGCGCAACGTCTAGTTCGTGTCTTTTTTGAAATAAACAAACAATCATTCGAGAGGCTTTATTTTTCTACATACACAAAACGTACGTATATATACGCGCGCCTGCCGAAGCGCGTCGACAAACGTAGAACATGACCGGAGTAGCATCCAGCGTGTCCAAAGTGTTTCGCGAGGCCACCAAGTTTGATCAATCGCGAACCTTCGACTGGAGCAGAGTAGTGGCCAACGTTTATTCGGAAGACTCAAATGAGGAAGAGTTTGAACGAGAGAGGGTCGTCCTGTTCTCCGAAATTTGTAAACTTTCTCATGTGTCCGCGAACGCTCTGACCGTTTTGGACCTTGTCGACTATCCGACCTTGGAGGACGCACAATTGTTGTACATTGTTTGTACGTATACGCACCTCAAGACCATACTCCTGAGGAACGCCCCCCTATTGTCAAACTCTGCTCCACAATACTTGGCGACCTACGCTCAATCTCTCGAACATCTTCAAATCAGCAACAACGGTGGCCGTATCAGGAACGAGGGATTGATTCATCTGGCTCCTTTGCGTCGACTCAAGAGTTTGTGTCTGACTGGAATAAGAAACGCCAGTCGAGCTGTCCTTCGAGTGATATTGCAGAACAACGAATCTATATACGCTATCTTGGTGATAACGACGGAACTCTTCGCCTCTAAAGATAACGTGACGCACTTTGTCTTTTGCGCTTCGAATCAGTTGAGTCAGGAAATGTACGATTTTGTTTTTTGTAGCGAAACGTTATCTCCGTTTTCAGATAGCGAGTGAGGGTATATATATATATATATGTACTCGCACGTACTACGCTTACAGCAAAGCTAACCCTACCCTCTCCCCCGACATCACGACACGACACGACTACTACCCTATAACCCAAAGCGACAATGGCTCGACTAGACAGGTCCCCATCTCTCCCGCTGGCCGACACCTGCGTACAAGTGTTCGCTCAGTCCAGAGTGTCAAGCGTGGTGGATTGGAAAACAGTGGTGCTTAGTATATACCACGAAGAAGAGGGCTACGCTTGGGACAACGTGGAAGGGCAAATTCACAGTGCGTATACCGAAATTTCAATATTAAGAAGCTTTCCTACGCACATCACATTCTTGGAGTTGGTGCACTATCCAATGCTGCGAGACCGCCACGTCAGTGATTTGGTTCGTTTCTACCCGAACATCAAGACTTTGCTCCTACGTCACGCACCCGGCTTGACCAACGACTCTGTAAAGTGCTTAGCGGACGGTCTACCTAATTTGACTCACTTGCAGATGGGATCGTGCTATCACCTAGACGACGAAGCCTTGATGTATCTCGCAGAAAAGAGGATCATCGACGTTGGCATACGGAGCCTCTGCATGACCGGACTCGGATTTATACGCCGAGAAACGCTTCACCAATTTCTCAACGTGCATCGAAGACTGACTACTCACCGCTAGAGACGTCCCCAACAAGGACGTCTACCTTGGTGAATACACTTTGTGTATTTCTAGCACAGTGTCTCCGTCACTAAGAAACATTGCGCCAACCGACCTAGACGTTATCGAAGGTGTGGACGGTGTTGTGGGTGACATCGAGTACCAAGACCTCGACAGTGACGACGGTGACGGTGACGACGGCTACAGTGACGACTACGACAGTGACGCCGACGAATATCTCGAATCGGACGACGACAGAATGCTGGGTCCGATCGTCCTAAACACCTTCAACTACGATGAAGGAGAAGACTCAATGGGCGAAGAAGACGACTGAGTTATGCTTTAAAATAAATATTTCGCGTGCTTATATTTTTGAGTCACGAATCGTTCTTTTGCATGCACACTACACTAGTGCCAGTACAAATAGATTGCTCTCTCGAATTGTAAATCATTGGAAATAGACAATTTAAACATAAGGCGGCGTGGGCACAGGGCAAAGTAACTATACACACCGGACAGTTCATGCAGACGACGCAAATCGTCGTGGACGGATCGGACCGCTTCATGGAAATGCTCGTCTTGTCGATGCGCGTGGGATACGGACGTCCTATGCTCACCGCCGAAAAAGAATCGCTGTTTTCGAGAAAGGACTTTAGCTTGTTCGGACAGGAAAGATCAAACTTGGAAGTGGCCAATGCTGTTATAAAGTCTAGGCTGTATTTGTTTGAGACACACTCAATGTCCTTGGTATATTCTAGCAACCAAAATAAATCGCTATTTCTATACACGTCGGACACCTCCTTGATGTAGGTTACGCTCGCGCACAATCGAAGATAGGGGCAGCGAGGGTTGTACTTGGCGTGTTCCTCGACTGGGTCGTCGTAGTCGGCTTCCCACGAAAGCAACCGAAGTCCGCAACAAAAGCATTCCACGGTCCGATCGGTCAGGTAATAAAATCCCGCAGATGCCATGTAATCCACGTCAAAGACGTCTTCTTCTTTCGGCCGAGCGTCGAAGGAGGCGAACCTCGCAGTGTAAGTCTGAAGCTCGGGCCTAAAGGCAAGCGCTCGTTCGGTCACCACCGCCGAGACGTCTGGACTCAGCGTGCGTAGCGGTGCGTCACAGTCGGATTCGTGCAGTCCTTGGGGAAGTGTTTCGTCCGAGGCCACGATAGTAGAGAGTTGAGTCTTTTGCTGGCACATCGAGCAGCTGAGAATCCGCTTCTCCGGATCGTAGGCGAGTCCTGCCATGGCAAAGTCCTTGGGTGTGGGGGTACTGTTGCGCAAAGGCCACGTCGCAAAAGTTTTAAAGTCGGACATCACCTTGGCCACAGTCGGGTCGTGGTCGAACAGTCTCCAGTAGAAAGACATGTTCTTAAGCAAAGTAGACTCTAGAAATAAAGTCGATTTTGAGTCTACAGGCCTTGCAATGTTTGAATAATATGGTGCAGTCGAAACACGACACGCAGTGTCCGCACGGCAAGTAGGCAATGTTAGCCGGAGCCTTCGTGCTTACGATGCACCTCTTAGTTGATTCGTCTCGTGACTTTATAGCGGAATAGTGCGTATCACTGATCGCGCTATCTATCACAAAGTTACCCCACCTACCGACAGCCTTCAAACAGAGTGTGACTGCCCAACGGAGTCGCCTTGCTGCTCCGAATGGCACTCACCATCGCCGATACGTTCAAGGGATGCGTCAGGTTGGCCGTGTACAGAGTACTCATAGTCCTGTTGCGGAACTTTGGGTCCTTGACGAGATCGTCGATCTCGGGAAAGTGAGACGCCCAGTACATCTCGCTCCTGTAAAACTTTTCGACTGCATCGTGCACGTAGTAATAGGTCTTGTTCACTCGTAGAAACACGCAATTGGGGGACCTGCGGGCGTGTAGCAGCCACGGATCGTCTTCTTCGCAGTCGAGGATCGAAAATACTTGCACCCCGCAGTAGAAACAAACGATTATGCGGGTCACTATCTGTTCGCGGGAGAGGTAGCCCTGCTCGTCGTCGTGCGAGCAGAAAAAGCCGGCCTTGGCGAACGCAGGGCCTCGAACATCGTGAAAGGTCTTGGCTCGAATCTTCTCGTCGACGTATCTCTTGTAGACCGGGTGAGAGTAGCTCGGCAAGACGGACACGACCTTTGCTACGTTCAGCCGCGGGTCCCTGTACTGCTCGAGAAACTTGCACGGCATTCGGCGGTGAAGGTCCATCGGGTGAAACGTGAGCGTCTCCCAGTCCTGTTCGGCGACTTGAAATTTGCAGTGCCGACAGTAGATGTGTTTCCGGTCAGCGCAATATTCTAGGCCGGCATAGGCAAAGTCTCGAGGCGTGGCTCTGGTGCGAAGTCGCCATTCGGCGAACGTCTTGAAGCGACGCACGACTTCCTTGCTTATGGGATCTGTAACGTGTCTTACAGGAGAGATGGCGATAAATACGTGCCCACGCTCCCGAACGACACGTCGACCTTACTCGGCTACTCGTCCAAGAAACTCATGCAGCACATTACCAAGGCGCGCACGACGCTCCTGACCAACGGAGATGTGGAACCGGTTGCAGATATGCTCTTTCGCGTTTTCGAACTCGGTAGTAACATACTGATGACGGTCGACATGGATCAGATGGCCATCCAAACGCTCCTGAATGACACTACAGTATTTCACTGCGTAATGGGAATCGAATACGTACGAAACAGTCTCAACATACTTAGGAAAACCTCTTCCTCGTCGACCACTCAGCGCGTCATCAGGGATCTGAAGCCGTACGTGGACGCGTACGCTACTGCCATTCTGCGCCTGCTACTCCTCTACATCGAAGAGATCTTTTGCCATGCGCGCGAGGCGACTCGCGGTATGGCGGTGGGCGCAAGGACGGCAGCCAAGATTACGGCGGTCATGCTAGTATCCCTGTGCAACTACGCGGCGGTGCGCGTAAAGTGCAACCCCATCTTTCAGTTTGAGAGCGCCATGGGCCACAACTGGCTCGACGTGGCCAACGGTCTCAGCCTCGTGCACAGGATCACGCAGCCACACACCGTCAACGAAAACATTGTCGGGGCCATTCGCGTAAAGTTTTCGCAAAACAACAAGCCACAGGACGTCATCAACCTCCTGGTCGAAGAGAGCAACAGGTTGTACACGAGTAACGTCGAGAACAGAGTGTACCGCTGCGACACCGACTACATGACGCTCCGGACCGTCATGCCGGCCGAGCGGGTCACGGACGACGTCAACATCATCGATCCGGCCATCTCTACGACGCTGCGTGACCACAACGAGCTCATCATGAAGAGTTCCGACACGATCCCCGTGCCGCGGACCAACCACTACGTGCTAGCCCTGCAGAAGGAGAAGGCGCCGGCCACCGAGGTGTCGGTCCTTAACATCGCCTCCATCATAGAACAGTGCATGAGCAACGGGCGCGTGGACTCTCGCTTCGTCGAAGTGCACAAACAGTCGGACCAGGGCACGCAGGAGCTCAACAAATTTTACAGCCAGGCCTGTTGCGTCTCGCCCCGTAACCTCGGTCTGTTTCTACAGTGCCTAAACTTTGAGATGATGGACTCGGACATGTTTGGGGCCACCTTACAGTGCCTCAAGATGACCAAATGCATACCCACTCCGCGCCAGGAAGAAATTGCCACCTACTCAAACACGGCGCTATTTCGGATGGCCACCAACCTGTTTTATCACACGCGTTTCTGCAGGAGCTACCGCGGCGAAAACACCTACCTGTACGACTCGCGCTTCTTTAACGACTTTCTACTCTGGGTCCAGTCGCCCAACTATCTGGAACACCACATCTCGCCTAGCGTGTCGTCGTCCATCATCTCGTGGTGCACGTCCATGTCTACTGCCATGCACACTACGCGCGACGCCAACGGAGCGAAGTGCGCCATGGCGGCCATATCCACGTGCGAGGTGGACCAACGCGTACTAGCCGACTTTTTGAACATGTTCATCAAGCTCTTTATCGAGGACGAGACCGAGATTAACGTCATCAACAAGAAATTTCTCGAGAAGGAACTACTCAAGGCTTTTGCCTCCGTGTCTAATTGCTACAACCTGTTTAGGGGGCAGTTTGTTTCGGCGACGGCCTTGCGCCTCTTTCTAGCCCGTTGTAGGTGGTCCGTGGCCGACGACGTGGAAGTCATCGTTCCGGTCGAAACAAAGTTTCTCAACAGACTGATATGCGACAGCGACGACCTGTTGTCCAACTCGATGCGAGACAAGCTCCGTAAAATCATGGAAGACGTCTCCACGATGATGGCGCCGCTACTCTCCAATCCATCCACGTCCACGCCTCGCAGCAAGGACGACGACAGCAACGTGCCCATATGCATTTGAAATAAAAAACCGCCAACGCCCCCATATACATTAACAAAAAGGTTCGGTGACTGATTTGAACGATCGAGGGAGTAAAATGTTGAAACAGGTCACGTTCGTCGATATCTTTTCGCAACAAAAAATGAGGACCCTGCGAGACTATCTCCATTGCGAACTGGACCTTTCGGTATCGATACCCTATAAAATCTGGATCGCTATCGCAAATTTCTTTATTCAGAACAACGTCCCATCGGTCGTAGAGGGAGCAGAGTGTTGTCAGAAAGACAGCTCGTCGTCCCTCTATCTACTCGTCTTTTCATACAGGGACAAGGACGCCAACCGAGTGGTGGTGGACTGCATAAACTTCATCAACGTGCTGCGCGATCTCAAGGTGCACGACGTGATATGCACCAAGCACTACGTCTACCTCTACGTCCGTCACTCGTCGGCGCATCACAACGTGCATGCAATTCTACCCTTTCTCCACCACGTTCTGCAAAGCTATGTAAACGACAAGACGACCACTTTGCCACTCGGTTACACTTTCGATCCCCTGGAAGAACAAGAATCCTTCTTCGACGTGATTCCAGTCACGTACCACGGCACCTACGAGGTGACCACCTCTCTACCGGCGCTCGTGGCCAAAATCAAACCCAAGGAAGACGGACAGTATGTGTCAGATCGCCTTTATTGCGAGAAGCATTGGATGTGTCTACACAATCTGGTCGTCTCGAGGCTCGTCGACTGTTTCTACTACATCACTATACAGAAATTGCAGATATTAAAAGATGTTACAAAGTCAAACATTACGTCCACCAACGACTATGGCATTTAAAAAGTGTCGTATTACAAGAAGTGACTCGCTTTCGCTTGTGTTTGTCTGCTTTGCCTAAAATAAACGCTTACGCTAGCTTGCACGCTGCTATACATATGTGTCTCTATGTGTGTGCGTCTGTGTGTGTGTGTCCAAACAAACGTTCTTTTATTCACAACATGTCGTTGTAAATGGCGTCGAAACTAGGAAATCGGAGGTTGCTCAGTCGCCGCTTGTTCTTCTTATAGGCCCGTCTGATGAGGCTAGTGGTGAACGTGCGAGACCAGTCGCTGCTCTGTCTAAAGATGCACAAGACGCGTCGTAGATCCATCGTCTTGATGCAGGGACACAGACAGCGGGTCTCGTACCACTTGTGGACGGCAGCAAGGGCTTCCACGTCCGACCAATTGTCGTAGTCGTCATCAAACTCCATAGCACCCATCATGTAGAGCGCCGAAAGCGCCTTGATGGCGCTGGAAACCGCAAGGTGTTCGCCGCTAGATTCGATAACGTAAGCTCGTATGTCCACCGCAGATTCCAACGCGTCGCTGGCCTTTAGGGCCCTTATGACGCTCGCAACGTCGGCGAGACTCACGCGGCACGCCTTGTTCTGCCCCATGGTCGTGATCGGTCGCGTGACGAAAGCGTTTGTTGTCGCGTCCCTCTCTACCACGCGGTCTTCGTACACAAACTCTACGGGCTTTACGTACCACGCTAGCCGGTCCTGCTGCGTGGTGTAGAGCGCGGTGTACTGAAGCAGCTTCAGGTATTTCGTGACAATCTCCTCTACTTTCTGCCGACGCTCGTTCGCCTTGGGCCAGTCCTTGGACATTGCGGCCGCTCGCCTCCGCGTAGTGGACCCTTCCATAGGTGCCGCGGCATCGACCGCCGCCAGTAAAATGTCAAAGAAGCTAGTCTCCTTCGTTGCGGCGTTCATCATAGCGCGAAACAGGTCTACCTTCTTGCCGTCCACCTTTTTAGATGAGCTTATCATAAACGGGAGCATCTCGTAGCCGCCGTACAGCAAGATTGGCACCACAAACGACAGCGGGTGAAGATCGGAACTACTGACGCGTACAGCGCGAGTAAAGAAATCGTCCTTGATGTGGTAGTAACCCGCCTGACGACTGGGAAGAGACCTGTCCAGCAGAGACACGGCGTGTTGCACGCCGCCAAACTCGAACCTGTGTTCGTTCTGTCGCTTCTTACTCTCGCTGTACTGGCGGGCCGAATACACGTAGACGTCTCGCGAGGGTATCTTTTCCACGACCGCAGCTACCCCGAGGAGAATGTCCGAATCGTCGGTGACAACGACGGACACGTCCCAGCGCTCGTCGTTTGGCGGCGGACACATTAAAGAGTCCACGACCTTGACGTCGCCTTCCCCCACGTAGAACGGCGGCAGGATCGTAAAGGACGAGAGTTGGTACGCTGCAGCCGACTCATTCGAGTAGCCGTCAATCACCTCTTTGGCGTAGAGTGGGTTCTCGAGAAGCGTGGCATATTCCCTGACGTGCTGCATCACGTCCGAGGCCGCGGTCAATCGGCAGATTGTGGCCATGGCGTCTTTGCCGTAGCGTGCCAAGTTTTTGAGCCTTCCATTCAGGACAGACTGCAGTCTCGAATTTTCAATGGTCCGAACTCGCTTGGTGTCCTCGCCAGACGAGTTTTTGATGACGTTGGTCAGCTCTCTACTGCGACGCTTGTACTGCTCGGGCCACTTTACCGTCGGCGACATTCCGTCAAACACCACCACCACGTCAACTTCCACACGCCTGTTTAGGGACAGCCCCTTGACGACCCTCTTGACCGTCCTAGATATGCAATGAAACACCGTCGTGAAGAAGGCGTCGTATCGGATGCAGCGTTCGCCCGGTCTCGCCTCGTACTCCTTGTCCCAGTCCAAATCTCGAAGAACAAACGCGTCGTCTTCGATATAGTCTTCGACGTAATCGCCAACCAGATCTCCGTTGGTCTCGCGAACGTAGTGTTTGATAATCTCGAGGTTCAAGGCTTCCCAGGCTCGCTCTCGTTCCTCTCGGTCGGCGATCGCTCG